GTGTATTTCTAAACAAACACTACACTCCCAACATTTTTATTTTCTAAGAAAGTTCAAGGCACCATTTGGGGCTAAGGACTATTCCCAAAATCAAACAGTGGCTGCTTTAGAATGCCACATTGAAAAATACCGGAGTTACAGCCTAAGGGAACGGTCTTTTCAAAACTGAGAATTGCAGCTAAGTTTGTAGAATACTGGGGGGGGGGAAGTGGGGGGACAAGCAAAAATGTAGCTAACCTACTTTTTAAAATTAAAATAAACCTTAAAAAACAAATTTGCTATCAAAAAGGCATCCAAACATCCATTACCAAATGTTCATCCCTTGCATATCAGTTGCCATATTATATAGTCATATACCTTCAATTGAAGGCAAACGAGGTCCAGAAAGAACATCATGCTTCAAAATCTAAGGGACTGGTTTGGACAAAACTCAGCAGCACTTTTTCGTGTGGCTGCTGATAAAAACAGGATTGCCAACATGATCGCCAACGTCCGATAATGGATATGGCACAAGAAGAATACCTTCAATGCTTTCTTCCTCCATTCTTCCATCTCTGCACTTTATCTTCATATCAATCTTGATTTTCTCAGGTCCTCTCTCTTATGTCAGGCTGGCCCTCAAATGCCCACTTTCTTTACTGGATGCTATTGGTTTTTTGCACTTGTCCCCAAATTTAGTGTCCCCCTCTTCCTAACAACCTCAATTTTCTTCTCATATGCGTCTGGTATTGTCTTGGTTTCCATGCTGCCATTCCCTTGCTTCTTCCTTCACTAGGCCTTGGTATTTGGATCCATCCATTTCTTATTCCCTTTTTTTCATTTCAGCCTGCTTTTCCCCCTCACATTATGTAATTGCATAACAATGATATGCAGACCTCCATCTTTATTTTTGGGGGTCCACACAAGGACAAAAGTTAGTTGCTGGAAGCCAACACTTCATTTGGAATTGCTTTCAGCCCAGTAAAGTCATGGACATTATGCTGCCTATCCCCAATGGGAACACTTTCACCTGCAACAATGTTGAATTAGAGCAGGGGTGTCAAACTGCCGGCCTGTGGGCTGGATACGTCATGGTGAAACTGTGCCCAACTCATTGCCAACAATGGAAAAAAAGTCATGTCACGTGACATTGCGAGTTTGACACCCCCGAGTTAGAGCAACAGTCTGAACTGATTCAGACTATATTCTAGGTTAATGGAAACAATATTTTATTAGAGAGCATTAATGATTCTTTTAATTGAAATGTTTAGATAGACAGCAAATATTTCTATAGATACTTTTCTAACCATGTTCCCCACTTTACATGAGATATGTATTCTGCTACTAAACAACAGTTAGACAACAGCCAGTATGAACTTGTGCATCCCTGTAAAATTAACAATGACATATACCAGCCACTAATCTGGTATCTTTGAGTTATCCTTTAGCTTAAAATAACTTGCAAGGCAAAATGAGTCCACTAAAACAGATATGTTCTTTTATTTATTTATTTTTTAGAAAAATGTACATCAAAGAGTTCTTTATTATGATTTTTAGATAAGAAACAAGAGAAGTCTATACATAATACAAAAGAATGCTTTTAACTTAAGGTCCTATTACACTTTTCTTTTGCTAAGCGCCATACATTTAGAATCACAATTCTGAGTTATCAAACAGATATATCAGTTGACTAAGTTAATGTCATATTGTAGAAAGCTTTATCAAGAGAAGCTAACTCTTGGACTTCAAATTTAAAAATAGAAAAACCAGAGCCAAACATGATTTAAATATATATATATATATAAAAACAGCTGTTTTTTAGATTGGAAGATCTTATTATACAAACATGTATCTACTTCTTCCCATCTTTTTGTTGAAATCTTTAATGGCTGCTCCCTGTACGTACAATAATACTTATACAAAATGATTTCTCCAAATGATTTTTTTTTTGTTCTTTTGGTCGAGAGGCTTACTAATGTTTGGCAAATACTTCTCCTTATGTCCTATTTTTCTTGGAAAAGTTAAAATATCAACAAGTGGTATGTAGAAAAGATTTGCCCAGTATCTTTTGCTCAGGAAACACCAAGTGCAAACTATTTCCTTTTTATCATACCTATTAATCTTTTTTTTTTTTTTTAAAAAAAAACCCTCCATTACGAGAACAAATTACAGAATTCCTTCTTTAATCTTTATTCATTCTCATAAGGCACTTTAAAAGAACAACAGCAAGGGATGTATCTAATATACATTACTGAAATGTCCTTAATATGCTGGTTAATATACAGAGAAGAGTCTATATATTCCACTATAGGGCCCCGAAGGAATACAGTACTTCAAGAATCCCCCTCTAGAAGCACTTTACTTTCCCCTATTGGCATGGTTTGCTGTGTTTCATTTATGTTAGAAAAATATGTGATTCCTTCACATATGAAGCAAGAATTTGTCCATGTAAATCAATATGTATTTTGATTGTCACCTGCAGGTTTCTTTCCCAGTTTTGCTATGTGAGAGAATTGAAAGATATAGAATCTAGAACCTTGAGCACTGGATGGCTGTATCTGTGTATCCATGTATTACTGGTAATTAATTCAGTAGCCATTTAAACATAGTTTAAACATAACTTTAAACATAGACTAGAGTTGTAAGGGACCTTGGAGGTTTTCTAATCCAACCCTCTGCTCGAGCAGGAGATCCTATAATCATTTCAGACAAATGGTTGTCCAGTCTCTTTTTGAAAGCCTTCAGTGATGGAGCACCCACAACTTCAGAAGGCAAGTTATTCCATTGGTTAATTGCTCACACTGTTAGGAAATTTCTCCTTAGTTCTAGGTTGATTCTTTCCTTGGTTAGTTTCTAACCATTGTTTCTTGTCTTGTCTTTTGGTGCTTTGGAAAATAGTTTGACTCCCTCATCTTTCTAAGAGTCCCTCAAATATTAGAACAGTGCTATCATGTTCATTACACTAGACATACCCAATTCCTTAATCATTCTTCATACGTTTTAGCCTCCAGCCACCTAATCATTTTTTGTTGCTGTTCTTTGTACTCTTTCCAGAGTCTCAACATCTTTTGTGGTGACCAGAACTGGATGCAGTTTTCCAAGTGTGCTCTTACTAAGGCTTTGTGAAGGAGTACTATAACTTCACATGATCTTGATTTTATCCTTCTATTACTGCAGCTTAGGATTTCATTTGCTTTTTTGGCTCCTGCCGCACCATGTTTGCTCGTATTTAAGTGATTGTCCACTACGATTCCAAAATCCTTCTCACAGTTACTGGCATTAAGCCAAGTTTCACCTAGTCTAGGTGAAACCTAGCTAGTTTTTCTTATCTAAGTCTAAATAAAACCTTACCTTAGTCTAAAACCTGATCTTTTTTATCTACTTTGAATTTCATTTTGTTAGATAGGGCCCAGTATTTTTGGATCTTGAGCCTGTCTTCTGGGGTGTCATCTGCAAATTTGATGAGTTCCCCTTCAATTCCCTTGTCTAGATCATTTATGAAGATATTGAAGAGTACTGGGCCTAAACCTTGGGGTACCCCATTGCTTACTTGGGGTACCCCAATGTTTACTTCTCTCCATGTGGATGTAGTTCCTATTATTAAGTTTACTGTATAAAATGGCCTTCTTTGATCTGGGCCACATTGTAAAGAACACAGGAAGTCCTTTTTCTTAATAGTTGGGTTATTTCATCTTCTTCAAGAGAAAAATACACATGTGGATTGATTTTCCTCTGTTGAAATAAAAGGAGCTATTGCAAGCAAAGGATTGACATACTGGATTATGATAGCCACTATTTCATTGGATAAAAATGGAACTATTGTAGTATTGAGTTAAATAGTTGCACATATGCCCTGAATATCACAGCTGAAAGAAGGTTAGTTTCCAAGCTATTTTGAAAATGTATGAAGGCTTTTTAAAAAAAATTACATTGTTGTTGTTAGTTGCAAAGTCGTATCTGACCCATTGCAATCCCATGGACAATGTTCCTCCAGGCTTTCCCGTCCTCTCTCATCTTCTGGAGTCCATTTAAGCTCACGCCTACTGCTTCAGTGACATCATCCGGCCACCTCATTCTCTGCCATCCCCTTCTATTGCCCTCATTCTTTCCCAGCATTAGGCTTTTCTCCAGTGAGTCCTTCCTTCTCATTAGGTGGCCAAAGTACTTGAGTTTCGACTTCAGGATCTGGCCTTCTAAAGAGCAGTCAAGGTTGATCTCCTCTAGGACCGACTGCTTTGATCGGCTTGCAGCCCAGGGGACTCACAGGACTCTTCTCCAGCTCCATAATTCAAAGGTCTCAATTCTTTTGTGCTCAGTCTTTCTTATGGTCCAACTTTCACAGCCATACATTGCAACTGGGAAAACCATGGCCTTGACTATACGTACTTTTGTTGACAGGGTGATGTCTCTGCTTTTTAGTATGCTGCCTAGATTTGCCAAAGCTTTCCTCCTCACGAGCAAGCGTCTTTTAATTTCTTGGCTGCAGTCCCCATCTGTGGTGATCTTGGAGCCCAGGAAATTACATAAACTATATTTATGGTCTAACCAAATAACTCAAGACTATGATCACTGAATGTATGAATGAGTATGTATCAGCAGTAAGATACTTCCATGAAATTGGAAATTCTGCTTGTTTAGACCCTCACATAGGTACACATCTTATTCATGTACTGGTTACATCTTCTAGCAATCACAGAGAAGCAGAAGCTGAGTAAGAATGTCATTTGGCTCACTCCCTCCATGCATTTTGTTTTCAGAAAAGAGCTGCTATGCTATAGGATGGCAATGACTACAAGTTATTGTAAGTATGATAGAGGTGCAGTTTCTTGACAGAAGGTGACAACATCCAGATTACAACTACTGATTTCCTTGTCTATGGAGATTCTCAGTCATCCAGATCATAGTTATCCCAAAGATGCTTTTTCACGAGGCAACTGGACTTTCTTGTTTTTCTTTGAAGATGTTTCTCTTGTCATCCAAGAAACTTCTTCAGCTCTGACTGGCTGGTGGGGAATGGAAGGATTTATATTCCTTGGAGACAGCTGGTCATTTGCATTCTTTTAGAGAGTCATTGAGCCACTTGGAGGTTTGTCTGTGTCCTCAGGGTCACCTGAGTAGTACAAATGGGTGTGGAGCCTTCTTGGAACTTCCAATCCTTTTAACAGTTCCAGGAGTATAAATCTTTCCATTCCCCACCATCCAGTCAGAGCTGAAGAAGCTTCTTGGATGAGAAGCAAAATGTCTTCTAAGAAAAACAAGGAAGTCTAGTAGCCTCGTGAAAAAAGCATCTTTGGGATACTGATTTCCTTAATAAAGTTTTTTCTTAAAAAAAATAAAATTATAAATAAAATCATAAGTGCTTCATTCAAAAGAAAGCTTCTTTGGTTGCTCTGGGTGCTAGCAAATTACTTCATTTCAGTGACTAAAAAGAGTAAGGTCCCACAATAAGTGTTAACCTCAGTACTGAACTTGACCGGTAGTTCATGTTGTTGACCGTCAACAGCTCCAGGTCAATGATATATTCCCGTGGACCTGTTAATGGCTTTACCAACACAAGCATTGCACTCACGGAGCTTGTTTGCTGAAAGAAAGAAGAAAAACAAGTTCATGTACAGCCAAGGCACCCACAAATAATTTCCCTGGATGTGTGCCTATGTGAAAATGATTTAGAAAATATATTTCAGACCTCACACAAATGTGAGTGCAACTTTTTCTCTCCTATTATTTAAAGCAATCACATCCTTTTTCAGGCTTCAATGTGATTCTGCAAAAAGACCCTACTGCTTTAGGTTATTTTAATGATTCTAAAATATAGCTTCTTTAATTAATAAGAGATGTGTTAGGTTTAAATGAGATTTAAAGCATTTCTTCCAAATCATTGAAAGAGTGTATATGCTCCTATATGCGTATTCACACACAGAGATATATCTGGTGTATTGTAATGGTTAAAGTGTTAAACCTAGGGCCACCAAGGGCATGTTCAAATTCTCCCTCAGCCATGGAAGTTCACTGGGAAACTCTGGGTCAGCCCAACACAGATGTGATGGAATGTAGTCTGGATTTCGAGGAGGGAGGGAGAGCATTCCAGAGGAGTAAGAGGCAACTTAGTTTCTGTAACCGAAGGAGGGTGAAAACAGTCCCTCCCTAACATGTCTCAGAGAATATGCTTGATATAGGTGGCAGTCTGTTTCAGTTTGGCAAGATTTTGTCTATAGGTGTGGAGCAATAAAGAAATCTGCTTTAAAGAATCACTGTGTGTTTTTCTTGATTTCTGGGACCTGATAATAGAGCAGGTGTCTTCAAACTTGGCCTTTTTATGACTTGTGGACTTCAACTCCCAGAATTCCTCAGCCAGCGTGCCTGGCTGAGGAATTCTGGGAGTTGAAGTCCACAAGTCATAAAAGGGCCAAGTTTGAAGACCCCCGTAATAGAGTTATTTTGTATAAAAAAATAGAAGATAAAATATGAATTATGTCTTTAACAGTGATCAGATGACACAATGGGACAAAATAGTTCTTCATAATGAAGTTGTTGATTCTAGCCTCTTTAGTTCGGTATGCTGAGTTCCATTTTCAGCATCTAAGAAGCTCCAGAAAAGCATACGGGAATACTTACTCTAAGAAAGAAGTCTCCATTGTCATTTCCAGATTTAATCCGGAAGGTGTTAATTGTATTGGGGATAATCGTGGTTGCCTGGATTTGGAAGATATCAGATGGCACAGTCCTCTCTGAATGGATGCTCATATATTTGTGAACAATGGAGTATGGCAGGTCCCGACAAAGATGATTAGATACTGAACAAATACAGCGACTGTAAAAGAAAGCACAGTGATTGAAAAACATACTCATTCCATTGCAAACTGGTGTTCAGTTTGGAACTCTATTAATAGCTTCCCTTACTTTTCAGATGCAAGCACGTAAGGCTCCTGACAAGGATTTCTTGGGTAACAGCGATAGCCACCATGATAATTGGAACACATCTCATCTTCTCGACATTCATTGCGTGTTTCACATTCATTTATATCTATATTAGCAAAAAGGAAAAAAGTTCTACAATTCTGCTATCTGCATTCTTTGAGACTGGAGTTATTCATAAACTTGAATCAGCAAATGTCTATGGAAATTCTCAATCATCCAGGTCACAGTTGCCTCAAAGGTGCTTTTCAAAAGGCAACTGGACTCTTGCTTTTTTCCTTTCCTTTTGATTCCCCATCATTTAGTCAGAACTGAAGAAGCATCTTGGATGAGAAAGGAAATGTTTTCAAGGAAAAATACCAAGAAAGTCCAGTTGCTTTTTGAAAAGCATATTTGAATCTGCAAAATATCTTAATAATTAGAACTTAATTATTTGTTGCAGTCTGCAAACTATCTACTTAGCCCTTCTTTTGCACATATTGTAGCTTCTGTATGTGGATTATGAAGTACATATAAAAAAGGGAACAGACCTCAGAGATCTAAAGGCTGCCCCATTCTTCACGTACTGTAGTCTATCTCAGATATGCAGGGCTCCACGTTTATTCTTACTTACATCTATATCTATATCTCTATCTATCTCTATCATCTATATTTTTATCTACTTTTAAGTGGGATTCTCTAGCTAAATAATCATACTGTACTTGATTTCTCCTTGCTCCTTTCCATTCCAGATTTTTGCACTCTTAGATAAAAAAAAACAAATGAGTTTTTCAATATGTTATATGCTGTAGGAGATCAGTGGTCTATATTGGTTGCACATTTTTGCCAGGTCTGATTTAAACCTGCTATGCATTTCTTAGATAAGTTTTACTGTATTATATTACCAAGAGAATATCTTGTGTCAAGCAAGGATTTGTCATTTGTATGATTTGATTTTTTTAAAATAACATTAATATAATCATTACTTTTGCAGATATGGGAACTTACCTTGACAGTTTCTTCCTCTGACCAACTGGTATCCATCTGGACATGCGCAGGAGAATTTTCCTGGCTCATTGACACATTGATATTGGCACAGGAAGTTAGAAGCTCTACATTCATCAACATCTGCAAAACAGAGGCATTTTCTAACCCAGTTTTGAAGGTTCAGCATCTGCCTTTACATTGTTCCTTGCCTATTATCTTTGTTACTTGGGCTGCAAAATACAAATGTTTCTTCCTTCCTTCCTGCTTTTTGACAGCTTCTGGAGGGAAACTGCATCTGCCTACAGGAATGAGGTGCATGAACAGGAACAGAATCACTACTACCAAGTAGAAAGCAAAAAGCTTTCAAAGAGCAAGATTTTAGTGAAAGAATCAGCTTTCTAAAATGCTTTTTTTTAATTGCAAAAGTTTGCCAGAGAATCTGAGCCTAATATATTGGTCTGGTTGACACAATATTTTAAGCCATAATATGGATTCTCTATTTTTAACAAATAGTATTGTGGGAGCCCAGCACAATGTTAGTGGGAAAATCAAGGTGCAGAAGTGGTCTTTTTTCTAAGATTATAAGACTCCAGTATGCTTACCTTTGCTTGTGTGTAATAAGAGATATTAGTGATGATCACACTAAAGAAGGCATTAAAGCTTCTGATTAGGAAGGAGAAAAAATGAACCTGCAAGATGTTTTCTTTGCACATTACTAACAGTGAACATGTTCTATTCAAAAGATTCCTTCCCATCCCTGTTGTTTGAGAACTTCATCAAGCTAAACAGCTACTACTCACCATCACAGCTGATTCTGTCTGGGCTTAATTCAAAGCCTTGATTGCACTGGCATAAGAAAGAACCAACTATATTGTAGCACAGTTGAGCACAGGGGTTGCCGGTCTCACACTCATTTATGTCTAAGAAGAAAACAAGACAAATGTGGCATTTTGATAGTTTCTTGAACCAGTTAGGAGCATATTCATTAGATTCTTTGTATACAATACATGCTTGTTCACTGTGAATCAACCCCAGCTTATCAAGTGTGGACCATTTTTTCTGCTTAGTTTTGCTTCCTTCCCCAAATTAAAATGAATGGTATTTTATGCAAACAAATAGTGGCTTATATAATTAGAAGTAAAATTGATCCAGTTGCTTTATGGATCTGAATATCAACTACTGGCAACAGAAAATAACCAGGGCTCATGCATATACATCAGTGTTCTTTCACTGTACCCCGATTTTCTTTGGTTTCTTGGAGGTGAAGCACCAAATATGATATCTAAAGCAATGATTTTTGTTGTTGTTGTTAGTTGCGAAGCCGTATCCAACCCATTGTGACCCCATGGACAATGTTCCTCCAGGCCTTCCTGTCCTCTACCATCTTCTGGAATCCATTTAAGCTCACACCTACTGCTTCAGTGACATCATCCAGCCACCTCATTCTCTGTCATCCCCTTCTTCTATTGCCCTATTACCAGCATTAGGCTCTTCTCCAGTGAGTCCTTTCTTCTCATTAGGTGGCCAAAGTACTTGAGTTTCAACTTCAGCATCTGGCCTTCTAAAGAGCAGTCAGGGTTTATCTCCTCTAGGAATGACTGCTTTGATCGCCTTGCAGTCCACGGGACTCGTAGGAGTCTTCTCCAGCACCATAGTTCAAAGGCTTCAATTCTTTTGCATTCAGCCTTTCTTATGGTCCAACTTTCACAGCCATACATTGCAACTGGGAAAACCATGGCCTTGACTATACGTACTTTTGTTGACAGGGTGATGTCTCTGCTTTTTAGTATGCTGCCTAGATTTGCCATAGCTTTCCTCCCCAGGAGCAAGCGTCTTTTAATTTCTTGGTTGCAGTCCCCATCTGTGGTGATCTTGGAGCCCAGGAAGATAAAATCTGTCACTACCTCCATTTCTTCCCCATCTATTTGCCAGAATTGAGAGGGCCGGATGCCATGATCTTGGTTTTCTTAATGTTGAATTTTAGGCCAAACTTTGCACTCTCCTTCTTCACAAAACCCAAACCTGATTGAGCATGGGTACAAGTCCATATTCAGGTCTACCCTGTGGTTAGAGGAGAGGCAAATGCTTTTCATTTTCCTATTTTATTGTGGTTGTGGGCTGTTGACCAGTACTTTTGTTATGATTTTGAGCTCTTTTCTTAGGAAAATCTGAGGGATTTTTTTTTCTCTTTCTGCCTACCCTATCACCAGTTTGCCCAGTATTTAGCTGAAAGAATCACTTAGATTTGCTTTTTTCAGGCAGAGTCTATATGGAGATTGACATTTCCACTAAGTAGACCACACCAGAAAATGAACCATAGGAAGACTCAAACTACTTTTATTAAGATTGGATAGCAGATTGAATAACAGAACCTTACAAAATCTGATTATTCTTTACCTCCTTCTTATACATCACTGAATCAAGAAGGCTTATGCCTGAGCTGCTTCCAAATGTTATATTGTAGTTTGGACTTAAAAAATATTTCAGCCTCTTTTGTCTAGATAATGGTATAGTACCTTAATATTTTTGTCAGTCTTTTTTCCTTACTGTCTACAAAGTCTGAGATAAATCATCTGTGGAATTAGCTGGGATGCCTTTTGGCCTGTAGGTTCTGATAAAATGGCTAAGTCACTATCTGGCATGCTCTCTGCCATCCGTGACTATATCTGTGCCTAATTTGGATCCTATAGGGAACAGAGGGAACATGATGGGTGCTTGTAGCCTGTGAAAGCTGTGATGTGTCCCTCCCTTAAGGAGCCCTCGCTGGATGCAACCAATTTGGATAATTAAAAACCAGTTTCCAACATTACCTTTTGGGGAAAAGTTATGAAAAGGTGGTGGGAACATTTTCTACAAAGCATCATGGTAGAAGAGGTTTAGCTAGATACTTTTTAGTTAGATTAGGACTCACCATGGAGTGGAAATAGTGCTGGCTACTATCCCAATCTTTGTTGGGATTTAGATGCAAGTAATGTTCTTGTTTTATTCCTTCTGGATTTTCAGTGGCATTGATATTACTGACTACTGTATCATTTTTACCATCTGCCAGCACAGGGGATTGGAGGCAATGATTTGCAATGGTTCTGTTCTTTCTTTAGTAGGTATTGGTGTAGTGGTTAAGGCAAAAGGCTAGAAACTGGGATGCTATGAGTTCTTATCCTGCCTTAAGCACAAATCCCTGAGTAGCTTTGGGCCAGTCACTCTTTCAGCCTCAGATAGAAGACAATGACCAATAACGTCTGAAATATTGCCAAGAAAACTGCAGGAAACTTGCCTAGGCAGCTACCAGGCATCATCACTGAAAGCACAAAACTTTCTATTTTGGCTGACCTGGCGATCTGTCCCAATATCAGGAGGTTGGAGGGAACTAGATGGAATGATACAGACTGAAGTTGAACCCAAGCAAAAGTTTTTCGTCTAATCAATTTCCTAATTAGCTTTGGTGGTATTTCTTGAGGAAGAGGCATTAACACAAGGAAATAGGTCTGTGACTTGGGGAACTTTCTGGATTTGCAATTACTGTCTGATAGGCATTGGGAGTTGTGGTCTGGAAGGTATTTGCTAAGTGGTTATATCACTTTCTGGAGCATGAAGACCAATAATAACTCAAGCCCTTATCATCACTGGCTTAGATTACTGCAATATGAACTTGAAGACCACTATAAGCTACAGCTGATTCAAATGGAAAAGCATGCTTGATGGGAGATATTAATTGTATTCATTGGGGGCCAACAGGCTGTTAAGTGCAATTCAAAGTGCTGGTTTTCCCCTATAAGGCCTTAGCAAAGTACCTTCAAGGTTGCCTTCTCCAACCAGAATCAACCTTTTCAATGCAATCTTAATGGGAAAATGTCTTAACAAACTCACATTTTCATGAAGCTAGTTAATGATGCTTTTCACTCATTCATTATGGATCAACCTACTTAAAAAACAGGTTAGTTTCAAGCGTGGTGCCCTCCAGAAAGTGGTTAAGGATGAGCTGTTCCAGAGAGCCCTTGAGAGCCTAATGGCATCTTGTATGTAGTACTGAAGTGCTGCTGAAGTGTTATTATACTAATACTAATGGAACATCATGTACATATATACATTGCTTACTGGTGTACACCGCTTAGAGAGTGCTTGCACTTAAAGCGGTATATAAGTCTCATAAATAAATAAAATAAATAAATAGTATTTAATAACATTAGGTAGGTAATTAATCAGAATGCTATGGTGCATTTAATTGCTTGGATTAGTTTTTTAATCTTCATTATTTACTATGGCTATTTTATATATACCTACACAACCATAAATATTTTATTGCTTTTTTAAAAATTGCATTTTGCATATTATTTGTGATACTATGGATTTGTACATACAACCTCAATAAATAAGTGACACATCAATCATTGGTATTCATATGGTGGCTTCTTAATTTTTCTACAGTTAAGTTTTTGTATCCTTATATCTATTTATCTGCTTCAGTCTAGCTTGCCAAGGAGAACCCCAAGTTTATGATAGAAACCTAACCAAAGCCAGATTGGACAGCCAATTTTCTGAAATGGTATAATGCTTGAGCATGGGTTGGACTAGAAGACCTCCAAGGTTCCTTTCAATTCTATTATTCTATTCTACTTCTATATTTGAGCTAAGTTAAGGCAGATTTTGAGAAGAAGGAAATGCAAATACTATAGCTTCTACTTTCAAATATGTTTTGAAATGAGAATTCGTAGGGCTATAGCATTCTAAACATTTTCATGAAAAATAAAATGCCAGTCTTCTGCTAAATGGAAGCCTCAAGAATACTGGGTATCATCTTCCCCAATTTTACTCTATGTTTTCTATGAGATATGGCAGTGATGGCAAACCTTTTAGAGACCAAGGGCCCAAACTGCAACTCAAAACCCACTTAGGTATCGTCGGGTATGGCGATTGGCTGGGTGTGGCCAATTGGCTGGGTGTGGCCCATTGGGTGGGCGTGGCTGCGGTGGTAATAGCAGACTGGGTGGGACTAAAAAGTTCAATCAATCAATTCCAACTTTGCAAGATCTTTTTTTTCCCTGCAAGAAGTTGAAAAGAAAGCTCACAATTTTGGCCTTTGCTAATAATATTGAAACTTTCCAGGTCACCTAGCAGGGCATAAAAAAGGATGCATGGCTCTGAAACTTTAACACATGCACAATGACAACAAAAGGAAAAAAATGTTTAAAAGCAAAACAAGTATCAGTTAAAGCAAAGCCAAAACAATATTAAAATCAATTATCAAAGTCTCAGAAAGAAACAATGCAGAATTCACACCATGTAAGTTTGGAGGCAACCTTGCTTCCTTCACTCCAATGAGTTCCTATGGCAGGTTGGATTTCAGCAAAAAGCCTGACTCATCTAATCACCAATGATGTCCAGTAGATCTCTGGTGAATAATATATAGATGAGGTGCAAATTTTCAAACATGCTGACTCCTCCTGGTTTAAATATCTATCTTAAACAATTAATGATAGTCTCTCCTCAAAACTTGTCTGATGCATCAGTTGATACTTTTAATAATCATAATATAATTTATTACATTAAAAAAAGAAGTTGAAATTGACTGATTGATTGAACCTCTTTTTTTTTTTGTACACGGCAGCAGAGGCCTAAAGCGAAAAGGTTTTACAAAACCCAGCTGAAGGCCTAGGACTGGGGCGACGGCGTGCATGCCCACAGAGAGGGCTCTGAGTGCCGCCTCTGTCAGAATCCAATTATATTTCATCTTTAATTATCAAACATAGAAACTCCCAATTCTGCCTTCTCTGGATTCTGCCATAAGAGGGAGAAAAGGGGGAGAGCAAAGGGGCTTTATGGCCCTCACTTCCTTCAGCACACTTCAAAGGACTGAATGTGTGTTTATTGTGGCCTCTAAGCTTTAACATATCAAAGAAGAGTAATTGCCTTTCATGTAGTTATCTGAAGTCTCCATCCAGACGGAAGAAGAAAGGGGATGGAATTGTGATACTTGAAACTATCACTGGAAGGGGGGTTGATTGGGTGGGACTACTGGGGAACCCCTAAAACCTTGAATGGGAGAGCTTGAACCCCAAGTCCTGTCTAGCATGCCTGCAACCATTTTCTCTTAATAAAGGATTCCTGTTGGAAGAATTATTCCAAGAGTTCTGTCTTCTTAAGATGCAAAGTGGGGTGGGTCCTCACAGCCTCTGGCACTCATGCCATAGGTTTGCCACCATTGCTACAAAATTGGGAACTCAAAAATCCATATAATCCTGTCTCATTTCCTGAGATTTACCAAGATTATTGTGAACTCTGAGGTTAGAAATTGATCCGGATCACTTTTTTTTAACTTTCAGCTGTGATTTGGTTTTTGTAATTGTCATTTCAATAAAGTTAAATAAAAATGTTAATCAAACTAATTAATGTAATTGCTATTTTAAGAGTACTGACTATGCTGTAATGTGGTTTTAAGTGTTTAAGACATTTGGATTTGTAGCCTAGACATATTCTTGGATAGTGAAAAAGAATCTAATAAAAATTAAGTACCTACTGTCTCTAGGTTTTTGCCAAATAACCATATAATTTCAAAACCATAAGAATGCAGTAATAAATCTGTTTCTTAACAGAATATTCATTAGAAGATTTGACCTGTTTTGTCAAGACAAAACAATTAAAAATAAAACCAATTAAAATCAATACTGCAAATTTACCAACAGAATAATGATGCATGGAAACCTTCCAGAAGTCAATGACAGATAAAGAATAGCATATTAATGATTTAAAATGTGAATGATAAACAGGTATTCATTATATAGATCAAGAATTTTAATTTGATGTACTTGGGAATGACGGTGATCCCCAACCTTTCCACCTTGATGGCCTGTCCTAGCGCAGGGAGGGCCATGTGAGTGGTAGGCACATGTGCGCATGCACACAGCTCCATGTGAATGGAGCTTGTGCATGAGCAGAGGGAGCTTGACTAGTGCTCAAAGCTCCATTCATGCGAGTGGAGGGTGCTTGAGCGGAGATCGCTCGTGTGATCTGGTTCAAATAGGACATGGCCCGATAGTGGGTCGTGGCCTGGGTGTTGGGGACCTCTGCTCTATGACACAAAAAACTTAATTATACTAGGTTACCAGCCAATTGATGCCTGTTCAGATGGCTGGTGGCTTTGCAGAGAATGGGTAGCTTTCCTTCCATCATATCTTATCCTGTTAAGTGGAGATCCCAGGAATGAACATGGAACATTTTGCACATAACTGAGTGGTTCTATCACAGGATTATTAAGTCTGTTTGGAAATCACCACTGATAATACAACCAACCATTTGACAAAACCAAATTATTCAGCCACATCAAATTTCTTAGCACAGAGCTCTCAAACTTAACATTTAATGTATCAAAACCTGTCCTTTTATTCTTATTCAACTTTCATTAAAGATGCAACATTTAATCAATGCAAGACAGAAAGTTACTTCTACTTAAATGAACAGAGGTTTCCCCCCAAAAAACTATAAGTTTTAACATTAGTGCTTATAAATATTTAGATGAGCACTATATTTCTATGAAAGTCTCTGGAGTCATTCCCTACAATTTCAATTCCAATAATTGCATTTATAACAGGTTCGGACTTGAAATCCAAGCATCTGAATGGAACTAAGATGGAAAAAAGCTTTTCTAAAGCAACATACCTTATTCAGATATAAAGAAAGCAGACTCCTTTCTACAGAAATATTCTTTTTATTCATATGCAAACATCCATGTTATATATCATTATATCCATTTTTTCTTCCATTCAATCATGACCAACTCTTGGAGACTGCCTGGACAAGTTCTTACAGTTTTCTTGGCAAGGTTTTTCAGAAGTGGTTTGCTATTGCTTCCTTCCAGGGGCTCAAAGAAAATGACTAGCCCAACCCAGCTGGCTTTGTGCCTAAGGCAGGACTAGAATTCAGAGTCTCCTGGTTTCTGGTCAGATGCTTTAACCATCATTATCAAACTGGCTCTATATATCCGTTATATCCAATCCAAAATAGCTCCAATGTTTGACCCTCATACAATGTGACACAGAGCTTCCTAAGTACCTTAGTATCCTATAGTTATTCTTTAAAGTCACCCATTGTTAGGAAAAAGGGCAGTTTAAGACTGGGACGAGCTGAGACAACTGCTAGACTAAGATGCAGGAGGTAATTATACAAGTCTACCTGGGTGTTTTGTACTGAACAGCACCCTCCCCTGTGTTTGCCTTTTTTCGGAATAGGAAAGCCATCCCCACATTTCTTTAAATACAATCCACAGACTTTCAGCATTTCAAATGTACCCATTAGCCTCCCAATATTGGAGATCTTTGGTTAGCTTTTTCAGAAAGAATTCTATGAACTCTGGAAAAGTTAATATTACAGCACTACTTTGGGTGAAGATATGGGGGGAAGATTTTAGCAATTACTTTTATAAATCTATAACTACTCTTCAATTAATTCCCTAAAATTCATAACAAAATCAATTAAAATATCCTTAACTGAAAGTTATTTGAAACTGAAATAAGAAATGCATCATACAAACAAAGGCAGGGTCAGAGCAATATTTTAAAATAAATATAAATTTAATAGTCCACACTAATGAAAAGACTAAATTAAATCTAAATCACTACTATTGATATAGAATATCTTTTCTTTTTATTATTACTCTATAAAAGAACAACAATGGAATCACATACAAAAAGTATGTTGATGAATGCATTTCTTGAAGGTCATTTTATATACCACATAAATGGCTATCTTCATTGAATTCCATGTATCTTGCATTTATATAACCAGAAAATGTGATAGTAAATACATATGTCTAAATTTAAACATGACAGTTTCTACAAAAATGTCCTGAAGTATGCTTACCAGCACATGTGCGGTTGTCAGGTGTTAACTGAAAGCCAGCATTGCAATGGCAGTGGTAGGAACCAGGACTGTTCACACACCGATGGTGGCAAAAGGAAGGGAACGTGCATTCATCAATGTCTATGTTGCCATTAGAACAGAAGTATTTTAAAAATAATTCCAAAAATGACATTACAAAAAAAATGAACCGCCACATATAATCTTAATATCATAGGAATATTGTACACATGGAACTGTCAAGCAGCAATACCTGCAAACATCCCCTTTGGTGCCCATGAGTTTCTTTTATGTATTTTTCATGAAACCAAAATTTAATAGAAAAGTAGCATACTGCAAAGAAAAATATCAATGTGCAACACCATAATTAATTTTAAGAATACATTTGGCATTCTTAGTGGAGACTAATTTCCATATATAGATAATCCTCAACTTACAACAGACTTACAACTTATAACAAAGGAGCCGAGGTGACGCAGTGGTTAAAATGCAGTCCTGCTGACTGCCAGCAGTTCAATTCTCACCAGCTCAAGGTTGACTCAGCCCTCTATCCTTCCAAGGTGGGTAAAATGAGGACCTAGATCAGAGGTGTCAAACTCACAACATCACGTGATGTGTTGTGACATATCATGACTTTTTTTCCATTGCTGGCAATGGGGTGAGTGCGGTTTCACCATGACACATCCGGCCCATGGGCTGGCAGTTTGACACCCCTGACCTAGATTGTTGGGGGCAATAGGCTGGCTCTGTAAACCACTTAGAAAGGGTTGTAAAGCACTGTGAAGCGGTGTATAAGTCTAAGTGCTATTGCTATTTAGTGGCTGTTCAAAGTTACAATGGCACTGAAAAAAGTGATTTATGACCATTTGTCAGCCTTAAGACCATTGCAGCATCCTCATGGTCATGTGATCCAAATCCAGATGCTTGGCAACTGACTCATATTTATGACAATTGCAGTGTCCTGGGGTCATGTGATCACCTTTTGCAACCTTCTGACAAGCAAAGTCAATGGGGAAGCCAGATTTACTTAACAACCGCGTTACTAACTTAACAACTGCAGGGATTCACTTAACAACTGTAGCAAATGGGGCAAAACTCACTTAGCAAATGTCTCACTTAGCAATAGAAATTTTGGGCTCAATTGTGGTCCTAGGTTGAGGACTACCTGTACTGCTTTAATAAAAGCCAAAGACTGATATGGAACAGCAGAGCTGTAGTGCTGGACAAGAGAGAGTAACAAAGCATTTTTCACTAGGAGGCCTTCCTATAGTATAGCAGCCCTTTAGGGCTAGATTTTGGACCATTCTGTAAATCTCAGTCAAAAGTCACTGTTTGATCTCTGACTGGATTCCCTTGAAATTCATCGTTCAGATATTGAATGGAAAAATCATAGGATTTAACCCCAAATTAAAATTATCCCCAAACATCAAGGAGGCCAGAGATGCTGGGCAAAATATTTGACATATGTGCTTCATAGTGCCTGAGACAGCATATAAAGCACCTATTTTTGAATTGTTAAAGAGGCTGTGTCTGCTATTTGCAAAGTCCGTCATTTGACAGCTACTGCCTTATCTGCAGGCATAAACTTGTAGAGACCACATGACTGCTTTAATTATTTGAACATAGGTGCATGCTGAACTGATTTCTTTCAAATGTCTTAATGCACAGTCCTCTTACAAGCTCTCCATCTTAAACCTTGTAATAGCTTTTCACACCTATCTATCCTTCACGTGTGGTAACTAAGACTTTCATCATCCTCATCAATGCAACTCCACTGCTGGCTGCAGATGATAAGAGCAGATCTGTTATTTCCACATGTATGTCCATTTATTTATTTATTTCATTGCAAAAACTTATATATGGCCACCTATACTATATACTACTAAAACTCCTATGTCTGTAACTTTTAACTGAGTGAAATACAGCATCATGGGGCAAAACTTTGTTAACAAATGATCTTCAAATGGGATAACTTACAGAATATTGGGACCTGTAAGTACCCAATGGAATAAAATTTGCGAAAATTCTAGCCGCTTCAGTGTTGTTGGACTGCTGCTGCTTCAGCCTGGCCACTCAACAACAGGTACTTACTTTCCTGTTGGTCTTGGACTTGCAATTTTCTGCTGCTTTATCCCCTGCAACCTTCCAGAAGCAAAGTTAATAGAGAGGCCAGCAGGAATTGGAGGGAGGGAGGGAAGGAGGGAGGGAGGGAGGATTTCCAATGCTTTTAAGGAAATTCAATGGGGAAGCCAACAGAAAGTCAGAAGTTGCTCCCATTCTCACTGCTGTTTTGCTCACCTATATTCATTCTGTTTATATAAAGAAATATATCTGAAAGAATGACCCAATAGGGCATTGGTTGTCTAGTACATGATAATCTAGGCAGCTAATAGTAACATTCAATAAAAACAAAATACATAAACCCCACAAAAAGACATTTTGCAATGTGGTACTTACCAAAGCACTGGTCTCCTCGCTTTTGATACCCAGTTCGACACTGGCAGGTGAATGATCCCCTTAAGTTGACACAGACCTGATCTGACCTACAGGTGTGGGCACCAGTGGTACATTCATCAATATCTTTTAAAAACAAGGAAAGAAAATGACATATTATGAACTTTGGAAAGGTCATCATAATGTTTATATTTCTCTTCAAAATATGAAGATGTTAAAAATCACAATCTGATTCCAATGTTATTGGAAGAGAATCATAACTGTCGTCCTGAATAAATCATCCCTCAGCTTATTTCGGCATCCATGGCATTGCCAGTTCTTTTGTAGTCTTTCTCAGCTTCATTTTTTCATCATTTTCCAAAAAATTATGATGTAGGCAGAGATTTCTACGAAGATTTCTTGGGCAATAACTTGCCAACTTACATGCCAATTACTCAAAGTAGCCAATTACTCAAAGTAGCCAAGAAGGCTCACATAAAACAAAACAGTGTATATAAAATCTACCTGAAGTAATAACTCTGCCTCAACAAAAAAGTCCAAGCAATTTTATTCAGATCACACTAGTCAAGGAAAGTAGATTCTGGATCTCATTTGATAGAGGTGGTTTACTTTCTCTAATGTCATACCTGAACACACAAACACAATGCTGGCTATGTTTATAGTCCTCAGATTTGAGGTAAAGGAGGTATAGCGGCATCCTTGCTTTTATTCTTCTCCAAGGCAGATCAATGTTTGAAGGCCATTATGGAAATGGACAAAACATAACTATTCCCTGAAAGTCCAGGCACAGGTTTGTTGGATTACTGAAGTATTTTGGAGGTTCATCCTCCCTTTGCAGTGGTATCACTTTAATAGATTAAAATGTTTTTCTCCTCTTTTTCCTTATAGCAACTTATAGTGGATTGTAGATGATTTCCTAGTTTTATGCCTCCTATAATCTAATGCAGTACTATGACATGACTTCCTTCTGACATTGAACACCAACTGGAAGTTTCTAAGCTGAATAAACAAATTCCTTAAAACTAGTTTACAAATCCCAGTTGAACTCTTTGTATTTGTTCAGGAACTGGGACCAGTGGCAGATTCCGGGTGGAGCCATGGAAAAGAAAAAAATGGATTCTTTCTCATGCAAAATGAAAACAATGTTGAGCACAAGACTCAAATCACGAATTGAACTGTTTTGACCTTCTTCTTTAAACTTGCTCCCCCTCCAGTTCTCACTTCAAATACCCAAATATTTTCCAACATGCTTCCTTTCTAACTGACAGCTCGATATAAATTTTCTTCCGACCTGCCTTGGTCTTTGAACTGATAGCTGTTATCAGTTCTTAAAAGCTGGTGTACTGCTTAAAAAAAATATACAAAGATGACAGATGGGGGAATGCAGAATTTTTATTAACTTGCAAAAATGCCTATCATATCTCAGGTGGGTTGAGCGTGAGATAAACAGTGAGATAGAAGGGGAGAGAATGTATCTTGTAAGCAAGCACTATATAGTTAGTATGTTTGCATGTATGAATATGGTTGGGGGAATAAGGCTTGCATTTAAAAAAAAACCCTGTGTAGTACATATTAGTGCATCTGCACATGCATTTAGAGGTAGTCCTCATCTTATGACCATTTATTCAGCAACCATTCAAACTTATGGCAGTGCAAAATGAAGGGACTCCAAAATTACAGCTGTTGCAGTGCCCCCATGTCACATGATCAAAATCCAGGCACTTGGCAGCCCATCTACACTTATGATTGCAGAGGTATTTCAACTTTTCCCATCCCTTCCCCCATCTATGTCCTTTGACCCCCAGCACTCCATGGCTCCTGCTGCCCTAGCTGATTTTTTCTGTATTTCTGCTCCTAAGTGCTAACTAAACATGCCTGGTCTGCCCCTTCATGAGGCAACTGATAGCCATATAAGACCTTAGCAAGTCACACACAGTGGTTTCCTCGCAAGAACTGAGGAAGATGGCCTTACAAGGTCATTAGTAGCCTGAGCAAAAAGATGGCAAAGGTCAGCTGAGGCAGCAAAGCAAAGAGTGGTAGGAACCTAGGAGTGCAATGTTTTGAGGAGTGACTGGCTGGGAACTAGGCTGGAGTGGCTGCAGCTTCGTGTGGCAACTGCAGTTTTGCAGCACACTGTTGGACTGGGCTGAGCTGGACTTTATATTACAAAGGTATTAATGTTGTGCTGTGGCTCAGAGATTTTCTTGCAGTCCTAGAAATGCAGTGCATCAAGAAACCCCTTTGTGCTGTTCTCAGGCTGGGCTCTGCACTGCAAAGGGATCTGCATTGCACTGTGATTCAGGGCCTTCATGCAGCTCCAGAGCCACGATACTCCAAGAAGTCCCTTTGTAGTGTGCTGCTGAGGTGACTGAGGCTCACTGGGGTGGCTGTGTTTCCTGCAGTTTTTCTGGCATATTTTTGGAAATGGTATGCTATTGCCCTCCTCCTAGGACTGAGAGCAATGACTGACTCAAGGGCACCAAACTGAGTTCATATCTAAGGTGGGACTAGAACTCACAATCTCCTGATTTCTAGCCTGGTCCCTTAACCACTACACCAAATTGGCTCTTATTAAAATTTTAGCTTAGCCTATTTCCTGCTATTATGCTTTTTTCAAATAACACAAATGCTTTTTATGTAGAACATTAATAACATCATAGTAGTGATTTTTCATATACAGCCTACAGTAAGTTTTTATAATTCATAGATGTCTAGAAGCTTGTTCCACTGCACGTAAAGTTAATGGAATCTGTGTGTGCATGAGAGTAAAACAGGTAACAATCACCAGTGAGTTAACATGAGAAAAGGAGAAAGGTCAGTGAAGAGGCCTTCCTCTTTCTGTCAGCCTTCCTCTTTCTCACACACAAACTTCTTTCTGCTTCACACCACCCTGTCCTTCTGAATCATCTGTTTTTGCAAATATAAAAAAATAAAACTTCACACAATGCATTTGTTTCTAAGCAACAGCTGCATATGTTCCCCCTCTGCTCAGCTTTGGCAGAGAGATCCAAATGGAAAAAACACCACAAAAGAGAGAAAGAAGAAACAAAAGAATGGAGAAACAACATTAGAAAGAGAGAGGAAGATGCCTGCCAGCAGTTTATGGTAGGGTAAGACTTGGCCCTCCTTTCCTCCAACCTCTTTAACATGCGCTATTGAAAGCACTCATTCATAACCATGAATATTTCTATTTTCCATAAATCACATTCAATCTCAAAATAATTTCTCAAAGCAGATGATGTTTATTGTATTGCATTGTCTTGTGAAGTATTTGCTGTATTGTTCAGTCAAAATGCTTTCAAAACTCATAAATTCAGAAAAAACAATCTGACAGTAAAAATGGGAAATCAACACCATTCATAGTGGTATGAATAATATTAACTCTCAGACAGAGGCCTCACAAGAATGGTGTTTAAATAGCCTTCCTAAATGAGATAAAAGAAACTAACCAAAGGGGTTTTGTGTTTCCTAACTTGGATCGTTTCCAGGAAGGTAGATTTCAACTGAGAGCCAGCCTGATCTAGTGGTTAAGACACCAGACTAGATCCATGAACCAAGAAGGCAATGGCAGACCGCTTCCCAAATTTTGTCCAGAACTTGACTTGAAAACACGCATTCATAAAGGGAGCAGGGTTATGAGGAACGAAATACGAAGTGTCTGTATTTGTATGTTACAAACAGCAAGCTGTAATGAAAAGACACTAACAGGGAGCAAGAGAGTATCAGGGGCACTGTTAGTGTTTTATAAGCTGCAGCAGTTTAAAAGAAGCTGATTTCAGACCAGGAAAAAGTCTTCCCCTTTTTTGACTTCAGTAAATGACAGGACTTTGACTGTCCCCAAAGTGAAATCCAGATTTTAGGATTTGGGTACAAATAAGCAAGCTCATCTCTCCTATTAAAAATATGATTTAAAATTATGAGTTTTGGGTTTTGCTAATTTTCAATGAAATCTTTGATAAAGTCGCAAGTTTCTATAATTGTTTTATTTGACATATGGATTAAAAACTAACATGGTATATTTATCTCTTGCCTAATCATCATTCAAATGAAATTATTCATTTCATATATTATGGGAATCCTGAGGGAGAGCATATTACAACATTACAAGTCTTTCTTAGAGAAGATATCATGACACTACTGCTACACAGAAAATCTCAAATGTTCAGAAAGAAAAGAGAAACAAATGATGTGGAATTTTGGGGGAAGGGAGGCTCGGTTATTTCCATCACTGTTTTTCTTTCTCCTGTCAGACAAATTTCTTTTAAATCAGGCAGGTTTTAATTCATAAAAACTGATTTAATTGTTCAATTTTATGGGTGGTGTCTATATGTTATTAATGTTTTAATTTTCTATCTTATCAAGTAGGCTTTGGTCTACTTTATCAAATGCTTTACAAAAATCCAAGTAAATTATATCCACAGCATTTTTCTGGTCCACTAATTTTACCACTTTATCAAAGAATACAATAAGATTTGTCTGGCATGATCTGTTTTTGAAAAACACATATTGACTACTAGTTATGATTTTGTTTGCCTCTAGATATTTGCACATTCATTGCTTGATTATATTTTCCAGAATCTTCTCAGGTATTGAGGTCAGGCTGATAGATCTGCGGATTGCTGGATCCATTTATTAATTGTCTTACTTTATTTTACTCTTATTACTGTTAGCTGCTTTAAGTGTAAAGATAAGATATAAATCAACATCCATTGTATCAAGAATTCTTATAATATGTTTGTAAGGCAAATAAATGTTTGTCTATTTGATTATCTAAGAACTGACTTCTTAATTAAGTGATGTGGCCAAGTAAAATTGATTCTACAATTCCTAGACTAGAATTTTAGTGACAGCTAAAAAATATTTTTTCTACATGGGCTAATGGTAAAAATGGTAGGAACCAGAACTAACCAAAACTGAATAGAAGAAGTGATCTGGAGAAACAAACAAACAAACAAGATCCTCTCCCCACATCAAATGAAAATAAATACCGGTACATTGCTAATCTGTGTTTGACATTTTTCAGTACATATTGTATACATTTGTTTGGTGATATCCTTCCCCCTCAATCAGTTGCTATGTAGAGAAGTTTCTTCCACACAAGGTGCTTATTTCTCTTCTTGCATTTA